CAAATCCCCTACCCTGCCACAGCAAGGAAAGCTGAGCTTTTCAAACTCCTAAACACTACAATCGACAACACGGAAGTAGGGGAAGGCCCCAGCAACACCAATTCAGGTGATATCCAGGCTATGCTGGCCTCGCTCATGACCTCTATGGGCAAGGTCAATGACAGACTGGCTAACCTCGAGGCGGTCACCACAGCCCTCACCAAGGCTGGTCTTCCTGATACTGCTCAACAGGCACCAACTGAACCACGGGCCACGGGTATGGTTATCTCTTCAGATTATCAGGACGTTGACCCTGCATACACTATCCCAGCCCACATTAAGAGAGAGACATCCTGGAAGGCAAAGATGTCAACCTAGCATCCCTACTAATTGCGTCCCAGGATGTGGTGGAGAATAAAACCTATATGTACGATGAAGTATCTCTGGTGGTCAGATCCAAAGACGCAAGGTAAACCGGAAACTGACCATTCCAGAATTTGTGTTAGCCTTTGGTATATTTAGAGATGTAATTTGTGAAGTGTACCCTAATAGAAGGGAAGAGTTTGATCGCTATATGCACAAGCTGGTGGACCAGGGGAACAAATTTGGTGGATCTGCTTTTTACGACTACCACAGGTCTTTTTCCACTAAGGTGTCTGGAGCACTCTCTCAGTATGGTACCCGTATCAACTGGATACAGAGCTATTCTGCAGACTAGATACAGAGCTATTCTGCAGACACTTCGCAGGTCTTAAAACACTGGCTTGATCATCCTGCTCTTCACACTACCAATTTTTGTTCTCACACGGCAGACGACCGTAATCAGTCACCTAGCACCAGCTACGGGGGTAGAACTGCGAGAACCACCAGAGACAAACTGGGTCGTCCCATCATTTTCTTTGGTAAATCACAAGTGTGCAATAATTTCAATGTGGGCACATGTAGCTTTAGTGCATGCAGGGTATTGCATATTTGTTCACATTGTTTCAGGGCACATGCAAAAACCATGTGTCCAAATAAAATGTACCCTAAACCATACCTAACATCTGTTAACATTCATGTCTTCTCAGCACTACTAACCAATCACCCTTCCAGACATATGGTAAATTTTCTCATATCTGGTTTCTCAGAAGGGTTTCATACAGGCATTATACATATGCCCACTGGCCAACTCGAATGTCCAAATTTACAATCAGCACAACAAAACCCAACAGCCGTAGATACACTCTTAGCCCAAGAGCTGGCAGAGGGGTTCTTGTTCGGGCCTTTTAAAACCCCACCTTTTACGGCATGGCACACAAATCCCATAGGGATAGTCACAGGGAAAACTTCCCTCAAGCAGAGACTCATCATAGATCTGTCAGCCCCTCATACCTCATCTACACCGAGTCTGAACTCTCTTATTCCCTCTGAAGAGTTTTCCCTACAATATGTCACTATAAACCATGCCATTACAGCCAGTATGCAAGCAAGGATCGGAACATGGCTAAGTAAGACAGACATTACCAATGCCTTTAAACTACTACCTATTCACCCCACACTATGGCACTTACATGGCATCAAATGGGCAGATAACTATTACTTTTTCTCGCGCTTAACCTTTGGGTCAAAAAGTAGCCCACTACTCGACACTTTTGCTGAAACACTTTGCTGGTTGTTACTTAACGTTTCTAGATGCCCCATAGTCATCCATTATCTGGATGATTTCTTACTGATTGAAGCAAACTCCTTTCCCCCCAGGAGTCTCAAAGCAACCATTAGTCTGTTTGACCACTTTGGAGTCCCAGTATCCAACAAGAAAACCGAAGGCCCAAATACAATCATTACATTTCTAGGTATACAACTAGACTCTGCCTCCATGCAAGCTAGCTTACCACAAGAGAAAATCACAAACATACTCAACAGCATTAACCATTACATTTTGCGGGGTAATTGCAACCGCAAGGAACTTCAATCCCTCATAGGTTCCTTGAACTTTGCCATGCGCATCATTCCTCAAGGGCGTGCTTTCATACACAGACTTCTCTGTCTTTTTCCACATTTCAAACACGACAACTATAGACTGTCCTTGGATGCGCACGCCACGGCAGACCTACATATGTGGAAAGAATTCTTGACCACCTGGAATGGTAAAAGTGAAAAAGAAAAAGTGGTAGACCGCGCCAAAAGAATAAGTAATCAAATAATCATATATATACATACATGTAGTTCTTGAATTTTACAGCATATGGGAACCTCAAAAAGAACAATAAACAATAATAGTGCAATATGCAAAAGTATTATAGTAATGTATAAATAAGATACACTGTGGGTAAAGAGCAAACTCACACTTTACCGAGCTGCTAGGAGCTCTGCCGTATAACGCCTGGACGGTACAATCCCCGTCTTAGGATATGTAGTTCTTGAATGTTACAGCATATGGAAACCTCAAAGAAAACAATAAACAATAATAGTGCAATATGTAAAGGTATTATAGTAATGTATAAATAAGATACACTGTGAGTAAAGAGCAAACTCACACTTTACCGAGCTGCTAGGAGCTCTGCCGTATAACGCCTGGGCGGTACAATCCCCGTCTTAGGATCTGAATATACCAGGAGGTCCAAATTCAACGGTCGTATATATATGAAAAAAACTAAATATACAGACCAATGGTACAGTATCATAAACTGGAAATAATATAGAAAAAAGTAGGTATCCTACTTACAGTATCCAGAGCAATGACTTGCTCTGGTGATGACAGCTTATGGTGGTATAATCCCCACCACAGGATATAACAGGAAAGCAGCAGCACCAGAAGATATGCAAAAGCCAAGGGATTTGAAAAAAGGCAATGAAATTTATTGTTAAAAGGATAGGATTTGAAGTTACTATATATGTTTTTTATATACTTTTATTTATATATATTTTAATATATTTTTTTAACAATAAATTCCATTGCCTTTTTTCAAATCCCTTGGCTTTTGCATATCTTCTGGTGCTGCTGCTTTCCTGTTATATCCTGTGGTGGGGATTATACCACCATAAGCTGTCATCACCAGAGCAAGTCATTGCTCTGGATACTGTAAGTAGGATACCTACTTTTTTCTATATTATTTCCAGTTTATGATACTGTACCATTGGTCTGTATATTTAGTTTTTTTCATATATATACGACCGTTGAATTTGGACCTCCTGGTATATTCAGATCCTAAGACGGGGATTGTACCGCCCAGGCGTTATACGGCAGAGCTCCTAGCAGCTCGGTAAAGTGTGAGTTTGCTCTTTACTCACAGTGTATCTTATTTATACATTACTATAATACCTTTACATATTGCACTATTATTGT